TAGTAATGAGCTAGATACAGATGACAATACTAATGAGCTAGATACATATGGCAATACTAATGAGCTAGATACAGATGAAACTACTAATGAGCTAGATACAGATGACAATACTAATGAGCTAGATACCGATGAAACTACTAATGAGCTAGATACAGATGATTCATGCCTATATTTTTCATTACGCTCATTAAACTTAACCCTATATTCTCCTGAAGAACAATAGTGAACTATTCGAAAGCGCTAGAATTTTGGTTCCCGTTTGAAAACCATATCTACCTAGTTAGTATTTTCATCTGTATCTAGCTCATTAGTACTGTCATCTGTATCTAGCTCATTACTATTGTCATCTGTATCTAGCTCATTACTATTGTCATCTGTATCTAGCTCATTAGTATTGTCATCTGTATCTAGCTCATTACTATTGTCATCTGTATCTAGCTCATTACTATTGTCATCTGTATCTAGCTCATTAGTATTGTCATCTGTCGACGTTACGTAAACCGGTCGTTCAATATGAGTTAGCCTTGAGAACTAGCCAATCATAACCTAGAGTTGTTGGTGTCAGGTTTAGTTGGTGCGAAAAAGGTGTGTACAGTACATGAAATACTTAAGTGTGATAATAGTTATAAGAAATTTTAACCAATCTTTATAAAGATAAAATTAAAAATAAAATAATGGCATAAGATGACAGTAATAGTGAGCTACATACAGATGACATTACTAATTAGCTAGATTCATATGACACTATTAATGGGCTAGATACTGGTGACAGTAGTAACGAGGAAGATAAAGATTAAACTATTAAATAGCTAAGTACAGGTGACAGTAATTACGAGCTTTGTACTATTAATAAGCTAGATACAGGTAATGCTATTAACGAGCTAGACAGAGTGTAGTATTAATTAACTCGATACAGACGAAACTACTAATGAGCTAAATAGAGATGTAAATACAAATGAGCTAGATGCGGATGACCAATGAACTAGCTACATACAACACTACTAACGAATCAGATACAAGTAAGAGTATTAATGAGCTAGGTACAGATAAAACTATTATCGAGCTACATACAATTGAAACTAATAAAGAGCTACATACAGATGACACTACTAATTAGCTGGTTAGAGATGAAACTACTAATGAGATAGATAGGAATGAAACTAATAACGAGCTATATACAGAAGAAACTATTAATAAAATAGAAACTACTAATAAGCTAGATATAGTGACACTACTAATGAGCTAGATACATATGAAACTCTTAATGAGCTAGATACAGATGGTACTACAAATGAGGTAAACACAGAAGAAAACATTGAAGAGCTACATACAGATGAAACTACTTATAAGTTAGATACAGCGACAGTACAAATGAGTACAAGTGACACTACTAAGGAGCTCGATATAGGTGACAGTACGAAAGAGCTAGATGAAAATAAATATTAATTAGGTCGCCAAGAAATTAATGTCGTTTTTTAGATGAAAAAACCCGAACAACTTATATATGTATATAAACATTTATTAAATGAAATAGTCTCCATTATTATCGATGATGCTCTTCTATCTTACAATCAGGTTGTTAATGCCCTTGACTTTGAACCAAAAAGCATGTCGATGTCCTCTTTAACACATTCCATATTTACATACGTTTTCCCATTAAGATAGTGTTGCAGCGAACGAAAATGATGGTAATGTGATGGTGCCATATCTAGAGAATATGGTGGGTGGGGGAAAACTTCCCAATCCATCTCCATAATCTTGTATTACGTCAAACGTGCCACATGTGGACGTGCATTGTCGTGGAGAAGAACATCTTTCCGATTGACGAGTGA